CGCCGACAGCGCGTCCGGATGAGATGGTGTCGTGGCCCCGACGGTTTGTATTGAGCGTTGCGAGAAGCTCAGTCGAGGCGGGAGGAGGGACATGAAGAGGATGAGGAGAAGGAGGGGGAGGAAGAGGAGGAGGATGAAGCGGAGGAAGAGGATGAAGAGGACAGATTATGTGGATATCTTGGGCGCAGCCGAGGTGTCGCGGAAAAAATCCGCAGCAGAGACTTGGGAGAGTGAGGAGAGCTGGTTCTGCTAGACCTCTGGCGGGGCGGAACGTGAAACATCACGGGGAATTAAGAGAAGGAGGAGGAGGAGGTAGAGGAGGAAGAGAATGAGGAAGAGGAGGAGGAGCTCTTGGGTCCTTCGGTGGTTTGAACGAAGAATGGCCTCGCTGCGCCATTTGATACGACAACGACGACGACGACGGCGAAGGCGACGACAAAGAGAAGGGAAGGGAGAATGAGAGGGGGAGACCGCTGTGTTGGGATCTCGCGGTGCGCCTCTCGGGGCCCTCTGGGAGGCAGTTTTGAAGCTTGTTGGGGGTGTTTTGGGGTTCTTGGGATGTTTTGGGGGCCTCTTGGGGGCCTCTTGGGGGCCTCTTGGGGGCTCCTTGGGGCCTCTGGGGAGCCTCTTGGGGCCTCGTGGGGCTCTCTCCGGGCGTCTTGGGGCCCTCTCGCGGCGGAAAATTTAGTTTTTGAATTTTTGGGCACCTTCTTTGGTCTCTCTTGGGGCCGTCTTGGTGTTCTCTTGGGCCGTCTTGGGCGCCTGTTGGGCGGTCTCGGAGCCCTCCTGGCCCGTGTTAGGGCCTTTTTGGGGGCTTCTTGGGCAGTATTGGGGCGATCTAGGGAGCCTCTTGGGCCATTGTGGAGCGTCGGGAAGCGGGAAAAGCGAGAAGGCCAAAAACATCGAGAAACACTTATGAAAATCAGCAATTGTAGCCTTTTTCGGGGCTCTTTTGGGAGGCCTCTTGGGGTCTCTGGGGCCGTCTTGGACGCGTCTTGGGCCCAGATTGGGCGTCTTGGGCCGATCTTTGGGTGTATCGGGGCCCTCTTTGGCCGTCGTGTTTTTTTTTTCGCGTCGCACTCGCAGGACAGACACGGAGCACTCTGCAGGAACGCCCCAATGGCTCGGGGAGGCCGAAATTCGTTTCTTTTTTTTGGGGGGGGGACCGTGTGCCGCTTTTTACGAGGTCCCCGGCCCTGTAAAATATATAATTAGGAATATATATATATATATAATATATATTATATATATATATATATATATACATATACACACATATATATATGTATATATGTATATATATGTGTGTGTACGCATAAAGAAATACATACATACAAACATACATACAGACAGACAGACAGACAGACAGACAGGCAGGCAGGCAGGCAGGCAGACAGACTGACTGACAGACATACAGACATACTTACCTGATACATACATACATACATACAAACAAACATACATGCATGCATGCATGCATACATACATACATGCATGACTACACACATACATGCATACAAACATACATGCATAATCGCGTACATACATACACATACAATCATACATACAGACATACATACATACATGCAAACATGCATGCATACATACATACATGCGTGCACACGTACATACATGCATACATACATACACACATGCATACACACATACATAGATACATAGCATACATATATATATATATACTCGTAGCACCCCGCAATTGCGGGTAAGAGTGAGGGGGCGGGCGCGGGCGACGCGGGGGTCGTCAAGCCAGCGGACCTCGTGGCCCCCACCTTCCGTGTCGATGGCGCTCTCCTCCTCCTCCTCCTCCTCCGCCTCCTCCTCCTCCTCCTCTTCCTCGTCCTCGTCATCGTCCTCATCGTCATCGTCGTCGTCCTCCTCCTCCTCCACCTCGTCCTCCTCCTCCTCCTCCTCCTCTTCCTCCTCCTCTTCTTCCTCGTCCTCCCTCTCCCCCCCTCGTCCTTCCATCATCGTCCTCCCATTGTCGTCATGTTCCTCCTCGTCGTCCTCCTCTTCCCCCCTTCCCGATCCTCCCCCTTTTTCTTTTCGTCGTCGTCGTCGACGTCGTCGTCGTCGTCGTCCCCTTCTTCCTCCTCCTCCTCCTCTTCCTCCTCCTCCTCCTCCTCCTCCTCGTCCTCCTGCAAAAGTTGCCCGCCGCAGGCGCCGAAAAAATTGGTTTGTACACTGAGCGTGGTTTGGGTCGCGGGCGGGCCGCGGGTTCTCCACCGGGAACGAATGCAAAAGATGCCCGCCGCAAGCGCCGAAAAATTTGGTTTGTACCCTGAACGTGGTCGCGGGTGGGCCGCGGTCTCTCCACCTGGAACGAATGCAAAAGATGCCCGCCGCAGGCGCCGAAAAATGCGGTTTGTACCCTGAACGTGGTTTGGGTCGCGGGTTGGTCGCGAGTTGATCGCGGGGTGGGTCGCGGGCTCTCCACCTGGAAGGAATGCAAAAAAAACCCACCGCAGGCGCCGAAAATGTTGGTTTGTACCTTGAACGTGGTTTGGGTCGAAGGTGGGTCGCGGGTGGGTCGCGGGGTGGGTCGCGGGGTGGGTCGCGGGTAGGTGGGTGGGTCGTGGGTCGCGGGGTCGCGGGGTGTCGCGGGGGGTGGGTCGCGTGGGTCGGTGGGTCGCGGGTGGGTGGGTCGCGGGGTGGGTCGCGGGGTGGGTCGCGGGTGGGTCGCGGGTGGGTCGCGGGTGGGTCGCGGGTGGGTCGCGGGTGGGTCGCGGGGTGGGTCGCGGGTGGGTCGCGGGGCGGGTTGCGGGTGGGACGACGACAACAAACAACAACAACAACAAACAACAACAACAACACGAATCCGCACCGCGGAATCCCACTTCAGCCACGCACCCAGGGACAGTGAATGACCGTTCGGCCCCCTCACTCTGATATATATATATATATATATATATATATATAGTTCGGGGAGGTCCACGCTCCCCCCCCCCCGTCCCCAGAAAAGTATTCGGGAATCCAGAACCACCCCTCCCTCCCCCCTCTCCACCGCCCCCCCCTCCCCCCCTTCTTTCCCCCTGCAACAGCGAGGACGAGGACGACGACGACGTCGCCGCCGGCTCCAGCGAGCGACGTGGATTACGACGACGACGACGGCGACGACGCACGACGCACGACGCACGACGCAGGGCGACGACGACGACGCCGACGACGCCGACGACGCCGACGACCACGATAACGGCGACGACGACAAAAACGACGACGACGATTACCACAATCGAGCCCAAGCGGGATGCGATAGAAGTTAGTCCGAGCCCGAGTAGGACCCCATGAAAGCTGGATCGAGCCCTCATTGGATTTTATCAGAGCTGGATCCAGCCTCAGCAGAATTCGGTTCAGGATGGACCGAGCCCTAGCAGGGTCCTATTAGAGCTGGATCCAACTCTGTCATTGTTTTGCACGGACGATGGATCGAGGCTTCGTAGAATTCCATGTGGCTTGGATCCAGCCCTGCTATGCTTCTACTAGAGCTGGATCCAGCCGGAGCTGGACCGAACCTTTGTAGGATGCGTTCAGAGCTGGATCCAGTCCTGTAGTATAATCTCTTTAAAGCGATTTCCAGCTTCAGTGGGATTCTAGTAGAGCTGGATGGGCCCCGAGTGAGATTTTTTGAGAGCTGGTTTCGGGCACCGTAGGATTCTAGTAGATTTGGACCGAGCCCTAAGCGGATTAATAGAGTTGGATCCAACATGAATCGGATTGCATCAAGGCTGGATTGAGCCGTCGTGGGATTCCATTATAGCTGAACCCCGTGGAGAGCGATCGAGCCTCTGTGCGACGTCAGGGGCTTGATCAAATCTTTTTCCTGATTTTTTCGAGGGGGGGATCCAGCCCTAGGAGCAAGAGCTGGATCGAACCCTGGTTGGATTCTGAAGAGCTGGATCGAGCCCTAGTGGCAGATGGCGGGGGCGCCGGCGACCGGCGCGCGCCGCCGCCGGCGACGCTGTCGCCGCCGTCGGCGTGGTCGTAGGCGTCGTCGTCGTTGCCGCGGGGGGGGGGTCCCAGTCCCCCGAATGATTTTCGCGAGAGGTGGGTCTCGACCCCCCCGAATAGTCCTCGCGTGCGGGGAGGGCGCCCCCAGCTGTCTGGGGGTGGTTACGGGGGCTTGGCATCGCTCGGACGTGTAGCAGTTTGCCTTCGGCGAAGACCATCAAGGAGCATCCTTGATCATTTGGCGAAAAAACCACGCACGAAAACAAAACAAACACAGGAAACGGACGTCCGAGCGATGGCCAGTGGGGGATTCACGGGAGAGAAGGGGACCGATATCTGACCCCCCCCCTTGTATAACAAATGTTAGCCAGCGACGGTGGATCGCGCTGCACCTGACGCCACGTCGACGCTGCTGGCTTCGTCCTGGAGGGCACAGGCGCTACGCCAGGGCCACGGTGGCGGATGGGGAAAAGGCACAAAAAAGAAATAAAAAAAACAAAAGAAAAAAAACAAAAAAAAAGTGGAGGGGGAGAAGGCGGGGATCAGAGTGGGAGGAGGGTGGGGCGAGGGGAGCGGGCGGCAGCAATTCCAAGAATGGGGGGACGCAGCATGGGGGAGGCAGCGTGTGACGTATGCCAGCGGTGCTTGGGCGAGTCTGGTCGCGGAGCGTCGTGCTGTCGCTCCCTCGTGGGACAGATTGACGGGAGGCCTTGCAAGCATTCGCCGACGTCTTCCCGGATCGATTCCGTCGTGATGCCAGCAGGTCGTTCGCCGGCCTTGCATCGACTTGCAATTGTCTGTTCGTGGTCGGCGTCTTCGGCGGCTGGACCAGCGTTGCTTCGCACACGGGCGGCGCGACCTGACACCAAGTGGCGACCACGGGAGCGGTGCGCTCCCGTGACCGAGCCACTGGACGTGCGTTGCGCTCGGAATGCTCGCGGGCGTGCGGTGCGCCCGGTGTGGTCCCGAGGGTGGCGGATGCCGTCTCCAGCGTTCGCCCGGAGCTGGCCGCAAGGCCATCCGCCCCCGCCGAGGCGGCAGCGGGTCGGCCGACGGCGCCAGCGAGACGGGCAGCGTCAAAAGCGAGGAGCTGCTGGAGCAGGAGCTGAACGGCAGGTACGCCGTCTTGGAATCCTTGCTCCGGGAGAAGCGCGGGCTGGAGGACCGCGTGCGTTGTTCCTGCTCCTCCCCCACCCGCCCATACGCCTCTCCTCCTGCTGCTCCTGCTCGTTCCTTCCTGCTGCCGCTTCTCCACGGCCTCCTCCCCTCCGCCCGAGCCTCTTACCCTCTCCTCGCCATCCGCCTTCCCCTCTTCGTGGCTCTCCTCCTGATGATCCCCCACCGCTTCACTTCCCCCTCTTTCCCTTCGTCCTCTCCGCCGCCCCCACAGCCCTCGCCAAACTCACACACCCCGTCCACCCTCCTGAGTCTCAACCACCTCCGCATCATCATTTCTGTAGTCCGCTCAAGTTCGTCCCGACGTCAACGCCCACTTGTTCCTCGACCTCTTTTGCCTCATACACATTACATGTGCCTGCTTCTTTTTCTTCCATCGTGCGCCTCTTCCAGCTCCTCCTCTGCTCCCCTCTGCTTCCCCCCCACCGCTCCTTCGCCCCATCCTCCACCCATTCCTCCCCTTGTGCCGCCCTCCTCTTCCGCAGTGCCCTCCTCACCCCTTATCGCCTCCTCCTGCCACCCCCCTCCACCACTCCCGCGCTCCTCAGGATCAGCTTCGCGAGCTGCACCAGCTGACCGGACAGGGGTACCGCCCGGGCGCTCAGAGCAGGGGAGCGGGGGAGCGGGGAGAGGGAGGCGGGCAGCTCGGGGCGCAGGCGGGGAGGGCGGAGGGAGGGAAGGAGGGGGGGCGGGCGCGGGGCGAGAGGCAGGTCGGGGCGCGGCGGGGGTGGAGATGGACGCGGGGAGGGCGGAAGCCGCAGCAGGGGCGGGGGCGGCAGGATCGCAGGGCGACGGGAGCGGGGGAGCGGCGCCCGCGTGGCGCGGGAGCCGCAGGGAGAGGCCGGCGAGCGGGCACGGGAGGGGGGGCGGCCTCGAGGGCCCCGTCCTCCGCGCCCGCCCGGCGGGGCGCCGCGCCCTGCGGGAGCTGCCGCGCGCCTCGCGCGAGGCCTCGCCGCCGGCTCCGACAGCGCCTCGCGCGCCAGGAGCTGCCTCGCGAGCGCCCGCCTCCGCAGCGCTCAGACTTCCGGGAGCTCCATGGGGCTGCGCATCCCGCGCGGCACAACTACGATGAAGTCGGGCCTGTCATCTCTACAGGGGGAATGTTCAAAAATAAGTACAACAAATAGTCTGGGGACAATTTTTGACTGTTGTTGAGCACGTTTGGATATTTTTGATTATTTCTAATATATCTCCAAGATCCGCCTGTAGGGGGACGGGCCCGACCTAAAACTACGCGGAAGAGGTATACCTGTCCTTCTCGAGCTCGTGTCTGCTTCGCTCCGCTGCGCCCCCCGGCCAGGCGCTCTCGGGAGCGCCCGGCTGGCCGGCGAGCCAGGGCAGAGAGCAGGCCTCCGACAGGCCGCGATGCTTTCGCGGCGCGGACTCTGTGGATCAGGAGGGATAACAAAGACACACCGACACAATCCACCATCGATTCCCCAGAAAATATGGGACAATCTGGGAAGTAGGGGGGGAAGACAAAAACACGGAACAAAATTTGAAAATATGGGAAATCCTGCTATTTGTGTCTTTTTATTTGTGTGTCCCAGGGCCCCTTCATTGGAGAGCTGGGCAGCTTTCCTCGAGGCAGTTGTCTGTTGCCCGGGGCCGCACATGGGCGGTCCTACAGGTAAGTTGGGCCTGTCCCTCTATAGGAGAAGTTTTCAAACATAGTCAAACAATAGTCTGGGGACGATGTGTTTTTACTTATGTTGACCTTTTTGAAAATTGTTGGAGGGTATATTTAAACTTCCATGCAACATCCGCCTGTAGGAGGACACGCCAAACCTGATCCTACGGTGCATCGGCAAAATGTTGCACCACCTGGCGCGGACAATATGTCGCATCGCTGTTCTATATTGTATCTCCTTTATTAAACGTGGGTGGTGTAATTTTCAGAGCGCGCTCTTTTGGGAACCAATATAATGTTTGCCGGCGTTGGGCCCCGAAGAATATTTACTGGCGCCGGCCCTCGCGAGATGGCGGCTTAAATTTCGCGGGCGCCTATGAATACATATCGTTCTTAACATTGACTGTTATTGGGATGTCCATCTTACAGATGTTCGTTAGTTCTATGCAGCAACCGCGCTCGCGCATTGCACGTATCCGGCGTATGTTCACATTCACCGCAGTTGGCAGAACTGTTCTCATCTTTTTACCATCATCTTTATGATCTCGTGATCGTCTTCACCATCAACGCCATCACCATCATCGTTATCATATCCATTATTATCACCATTCTCATTGGCGACCACGAGATGGTGCATCATTTTCGCCAGCGTTTGGGCGACGGATTTCTCGCTGGCGTGAAGATTAGGCCCTGGGATAATTTTCGGCGTGGCACCCCCCACGACGTTTGCCCCCCCCCCCCCCCCCCCCCCTCCCCCCTCCACCCCCCCTCCTTTAATTGGGGGAATAGAGTAAGCGTTTGGTATCCACCCCTCTCCCTCCCGACCTTCATATTGGGGTCAGTCCGGGCTGACCGAAACAGCTCGATGGTGCAACATTTTGCCGGGAGCCCCCCGGCGCCCAAGGGCCCTTCGCCGTGCACCCAGTATTCAGATTAAGTCGGGCCTGTTTCTCTACAGGAGGGACATTCAAAAATACTCAAAACTAGTCGGGGGACTATTTTTTGACAATTTTGGTGCATCTGCTGGGCACTTTTTGACTATTTTTCTATTTCGTCCAAAATCCCCCTGTAGGGGGACAGGCCCGACCTGATATTAAGATCGGGGGGAAGGGGGGGAAAGAGCCATGCAGTACCGGTGTCAGTGCGCAGCAAAGTGGTGCAGCATGCTGTCGATGTACGGTAGGGGGTATCCCTGGGCCCAGAGAGCAGCAGGCACTCCTCCGCTGCTGCTCTTCAGGACGCGGGGAGGTCTCGGCCTCGGGGGCCGAGAGTAGCGAAAGCAGCCTCCCACCGTGATGTGTTTGGACAGGACGCTCGCTCTGAGGCTCCGCCGCTTCCTCCCTCCTCTTCGCTGCCTAATTCAAGCTTCGCGCGGCCCGCTTAGCTTCGACCGGAAGAGGTGCGCTCTCGACCCGCGGATCAAAAAAAAGCGCTTGGACGGGGCGCAACAATTAAATGGTCGAGGTGGGACCGGGGCTGCCCACCGTGTTGTGGCTCGAGCTTCTCCTGAATCCGCCCCCGCGTCCTCGGATGTGCTCTCGGGTCATCGCGTGGGCGCGGGGGGCACGATCCGTGTGACCTTCTACCCAGACCCCCTCGGGCAATGGGAAAATCTTGACGGGAGGTTTTTTGCTATCTTCGGCTTTTGGGGGCACCAAAAACGATTCAGGATGAAAAGCCGGTCCAGGGGAATGGGTCGAGACCTCCATAGGTCGACGCTATGAACAAATCATGACGTCGGGGGTTTGGGTACGTCCCGTGATGCCGAACACTTTGGATTACAACTGGAGCATGCTAAGACATGATCGCGCGCGAAGCGCCTGCGTGGTTCTGGTTGATTATGTTATTCGACTATCATGGCCGCGCAGGGGTCGTGGACAAGAGGCTTCTTGGATGCCTCTCTGGTCCTCTTGGCAGGCACCTTGTGGGCCCATCGGAGGCTCCCTTGCAAGGGGCCTTGGGGAGCCTCTTGAGGGACCTCTTGGGTGCCCTTCTGGGGTCTCTTGGTGGCCTGATGGGGGCCAACGGGCGCTTTCGATGACATCGTGGGTTGGAGGGCTCCAAATTTCAGTTCGAGATTCCCCTACTTGGGGCCGTGGACTCGCAACTACGCTTCCAATGCCTCGGGGAAGATCACGTGGGATTCCCAGGAGCGCCAAGAGGAGCCCCAGAATTCTGGGCATCCTGGACCCGGGTCCTGTCACGAGTACCTGGGCAATTGCCAGTGCAGAGAGCTCGGTGGGACTTTGTTGAGGACGCTCCTCTTCATGCCTCGTGGCACTGACGGACAGCCACACGCGAGACAAACTGCGAGCGTACCGCACGGCGTTTTCGGCATCACCCGCCCGCGGCAGAACTCAGCCGCGGTCCACCGTCAGTTCGGCTCAAGTCGCCACTCGAGCAATCGGAGTTAGATCATTGTCAGCGAAAGTCAGCAGTAGCCTCATCCTCTGGTATGGCGGGATGCGGCCATTTCCTTGTCGCAGTCGTCGCAATTGCGACGGCGAGGCGTGTCGATGTGCACGATGTCAGCCTCGGTGATGAAGCCTTGGAGCAGGAGCTGGCCACCCTCGAGTCGCTCACTCAGAAGCAGCACCATGGCGATGGCAGCAATTATCGAAGGCGCCTCCAGGGCGAGTCACCGCCGGCCACTGATGTTCTGGGGACGTATGTGGCATATTTGGCCAAATGGGCCAAACATCATTCGTTGAAGAAGAAAAAACGCCATAAACATAAACTTCTGGCGATCCGCGCGGATTTCTTGGATCCACGAGGAGCGCCAAAAGTTTATGCTCATGTAGTTGTTTCTTCTTCTGATTCAGCAAGGGTGCTGGACTTTGGTTGTCCCCCCCCCCCTGGGGGGAGCCCGGCGGCGAGGCCATGCGCCGTCGCCCCCTCGCCCGCTCGTCCCGGGATCCTCGTCGGCGTCGTCCTCCTCCTCGCCCTCGCCCTCACCATCACCACCATCACTAGGGAAACGAAAAGTGACATAAACATAAAAACTCGGAGGTCCGCGCGGAGTTCTCGGGTCGTAGCTGGGACCCCCTGGCGGCGCCTCTGGCGCCGCCCCTGGCGCGCCCCGCGCGCCAGGGATGGGCGTCCAGCGCGGATCCAATACATCCGCGCGGACCTCCGAGTTTTTATATTTGTGCCAGTTTTCGTTTCCCTAATCACCGCCATCGCCACTATCATCGTCATCGCCATCGCACTCGACGTCTCCCCTTGGGCCCCTTGGGGGGGAGCGTCGGCGTGGGCGGCCACCCTTAGGGGGGCCCCTGCAGGCAGCCCTCCACAGGGGGCGCTGGCGGGGGCCACCTCGCCGGGGGGCCGCGGGGCTGGCTGCTCTCGTCAGGGTGGGGAAGAACACGACGCACAGACACCATTCTCAGTCGTCGGATCGGTCGTCGACCCCACAGGAAAACAGGTGGGAAAAGATGGGAAGCGTGGGGGGGGGAGGAACGAGACTCCTCTTAGCAAAGGTGAGGTGGGAAGAGACGGGGCATCCTGGGAGGCGTGTCTGTTCGCTTGTGCGTCCCTGGGCCCCTTCCTCTCGGGGCTGCGGGGGTGCCCTTGGGCGGCGCCTGCGGATCGCCTATGTTCCCATATGGTTCAGCAGTGGCGGAGCGCCCCGGCTCGCCTATAGCCCCACCAAGCAATGTTCTGAGAACCTTTCGTGGTATGCACGAAACGTTCTTACAACATCTCTGGTTGAGACTGTCTTGGTTTCACACATCGGGTTCATGGTCTAAGAACACTGTTTTTTGTCCTCAGAACATCTCTGGGCTCTAAGACCATTTCGTGGCAGGACTATAGGGATGCCAGTACGGCCGGTCCGTGCTCAATATCTACCAGCCTGGAACATATCCCTATCCCTATGATGGGCACCTCCTTATCACGATGCCAATCTCAGGGATTCCCTTATTTTTTGAGGGCGAATCCCTGAGATTGTCATCGCCTTTTGGCGTGTCAATCTTAGGGATAGGGATACGTTCGAGGCTGGTAAAACATGGGGCCCTCGCGGAGGCC